TCGACGGTGGCGTCATGGACGCAGTCGACGCCGACAATTTCTGATGTAAGTGCTTTAGCAGAGCATTTTCATAGCTCGAAAACGCCTTGAGGCGCGCGCTTATCGCTTCAGAGCCATGCGAAACAAGGTTTTCCACGCTATCATGACCAGGCAGGGGCATTGGCTTATCAAGTCCGTCTTGCATGCCCTGGGCAAATAGGAGAATTGCTCCATCCTCACAGAGGATCAGTCGGAACGACACTGGTGTAGATTGACTGCAAGTGCTGCCAAGAGCAGCGGGGCTGCCGTAGCTCTTTGCTTAGCGGATGCTTACATAGGGTCATCGACCTTACGCTCTGTACCAGAACCAGTATTAGTGTAGCGGATCGCAATCCGCTACTTCAAGAGTACCCATAAGCTTAGCCAAGGCAAATACACTCTTCCGTTCAGAATTGAAACTGTAAAAAACTGTTTTATTTGCGGCAGAGCCACCTATATCCAAAGTAAAACCTTATCAAAATGCGTAACTACTGGCAGTTCTGCCACGGAGTGGCTTCTTGTTACGCCACATCATTGTGTGATTACACCAACTTGTGTAATCCGCACCTTTGTACGGTCACTTCATCTTGTGTGCCCATTCTTCATTCAAGGGCACGTGTTACGCCGTTACACTTTGGGTACGTGTATCCCGTTACAACAGTGGTGAGTCGTACGTGATTGCACAACGCTCCTAGATATATCAGGACTATCAACAACTTCAAGACCAAGAGGTTGCGATCAACATCCAACTGTGCCGGGTTGTAAGCCCCCACCTTCTTAAAGAGAGTATATTCTTTAGGGATCAATTCTATAGATCACAGCCTTGGGGAGGTACAACAAAACCCACTTTTTCCATCGGGTCGCTTTGTACCTACTGGTACATGGTGTTCCCCGGAGAGGGATTTGTTGTACACCCTTGTGTAGCAGCTCGACCTTTCGTTCATTCCAGACGAAAGGGAAAGGAAAACACACGGAGCAGATGTTTGTAGCCCCACAGATGAAACATCTGCGAGTTTCACAAAGCTGCTCGACAGCTAAAATGTTTCCGTCTTTTCCCTCAGTATGACTGAGGTGCCTCACCTCTGCATGTTGATAACCCGACAATTTCCTCGAAAGAGGAAGAGTCGATGCGGTAATTTCGGTGCGAGTCGCATCTGATCAAACATTCTCTACAAAGCTGACAGCCGCTACCGCCTCTGGATGAATCTCGAACGCCAATGCAGTAGGAAGAATTCTTAATGAATGGAAATGATGAGCTAGCTCTCGAAAATCTTGATGGATTGGCAGGAGCTTCAAACGCAATCTATACATTAGGATACGCGATACAAACAGCGGTGAGTTTTGCCGCTTCGGATCTTTCCATGCTAAGCACGCCTCATTTAACAAGACACTACTTATTAGTGCCGGTGATCACACACGGTCACCTCGCTAGAAGACCGTTATCGTGACATGTTTTTACTTTGTTAGGAGCATGGTCATACTCCTAGACCTATCAACTTCCGTCGTCCAGAGTGAGAATAAAAATCCGTCTTGACCTGTAAATACCTATCCGCTAAACCATCGGTTCTCCAACCAGAGCCCGATTGAGGTGCTCTATACTTGTGGGCGCCTCCATACAAGCAATTAATGCATCCGGTCCTGCTGGTGCCAGTTCTTTGATTTTGTCGGGGCCAAAGAAAGACGTAAGGTTACTTTGCTGGTCTGTGAGTCCTGGAATAAATTGTTCTCACACATGATACAGTCCTTGAACGACTCGATCGTGAGATTGACTACAAACCCTACCACGCGCAACGAGATTGCCATTAGTTTGGGCAGAGGGGTTTCGACTCAAAGATTTATCGTTAAATAAATCCAAAGATTGCCCACTTTAGTAGTTGCTTTGTTAACTTTATAGTGACATATATTCAAGATGAACGGTACTTAATATACACGTTTCTAACCATCATCTTTCTCAGATCAGATTGGAGTGTCGTCCTATGCGCCTTATCCTCCTATTCCATACAGCGGTTATCGCTACACATCCATTTAAGCGGAATTTCTTGCGCACAAGGACACAATGAACTTTACATCATGTCACGAGTCGCACTTTGTACCTGTATACCAAACATCTTACCATAATTTCGCTTGATTGGCCTAGCTCATTTTCCATCATGTCTATGGTTTTGAAAAAAAGCCTACACGACGTCAGTACCATGAAATGCTTGTGATGAAGTGCAACGTGAAAGATCCTACGTGACTTAATTGGCGTACAAAAAAAGAAAGATAGTCGAAGTGCTTGCCGGACCAATAAAGCTGACCAGAGAACATTAGACAGATCCCAATAAAGTACGGTGATAAAAAAAGCAGAAATTCATCTGATGCTGCGCTATCGGTGATAGATTCGGAGAAGCTGCCTCAAAAGCTTAAAGGTTGGAAGCACAATGAAGCATATACCTTAACGGTATTAATAAATACTGTGAATTTATCTGACTCTTCCAGCAATATATTAAGTGGCCACGCGCATTTAGTTACAACTGTTGAGTTACCGCCGTTCCGTTAATCTTTACTGTGACCAACAAGTAGCGTCATCAATACTCTATCTTGCAAGCTGTCTGGCTCTCGTGCATTTTGCTTGTCCTTCTGTTTCTTAAGACGTCGAGTTCTGTACATATATCGGTTTAGGAAGGAATACAAATCAAATGCTTCACTTGTTGATGTTCCTCGAGGCACTCGCCTCCTTCTTAACGCATGGCCTTCCTAGAAGATGACGACGCAATGCGTGCTTTCGAGGCGGCGCTTTCATTCGTGGAGCAATACTCTATTGACACATCAGTATTCACAGCATCCCCATCCCCCGCTCCTGTGGAAGACAGTGTATTTTTCTCATCCACCACGAATTTACCGCTCAACATAGCGTCTCCACACGACACTTATGATACGACAATAGCATCCCCATCATCTCCAGGATTTCAATTGTCAAAAGAGTCGTCTGGAAGGAGCCAACGCGGTTTGTCCACTTTAAAAACGGTTTTGACAAAGAAGATAGTCGGGCGAAGCAGAAAGAAGACGACAGTTGGTGTCAAGAAGCCCGTGACCAGAGGTGATCCAAACCGAGCGAGAAATGAGCGCAAAATTGAATTGGCCTATCTTCGTGAAAAAGCCACTCAGCTGGAACTTGAGCTGCAAGCTCTTAAGCTTCATACGAGATTTCAGACGAGAAGTATCTGTCAGCAGAGTAATCAAAAGCAGACGAACGTCAAGAAAAAAGACGCCATTATGTCCGTTTACGATTCTGTACAAACACCAACAGTGTGGAAAGAAGTGGCGTGTCGTCAGCGCCGGAGGAGAGAGAAAGCAGAGCGCGACAATGTTCGATTGAAACTTATTCTGGAGAATCAGATTCGAATGGCCAGAGGTCTCGAAAATTTACTACAGAAGCGAGCCAAGCAACAAATAATCGGATGTTCGAGTTTATCAGAGACAAAAAAGGCAAAGTACTCACAAGGTCGACAACTGGACTTCCGAGCCGATGTAAATGAATTCAAGGACTTATTGGCTCATCTTGATCGAGCATATCGCGAAGTAGACGTAGTGTTTGCTGCCAATGGTTTAGCTACAATGGAAACGACACATCGAGATGCGAGGATGCGTGAAGGGGCCGATTGCATGTATCTGGATATTTTTGCCAACAAAGTCATGCCGTTTGGAATGCGGGCTACGGCACAAGCAGTGTGGAGTCATTATAAAGGAGCAGAGAAACATCGTGGCAATATGTACGAAGGAAAAGCGGCAAAGGTGAGAACAAGCTGACAGAATCATAATATAATTGCTGACAAATGCTGTATTTGACTTGCTTGAAGCATTTGGAGACACCTGATACACCTGAAACTATCATCGAGGATTTTGCAAAAGAATTTTTTGCCGATAGTGCTCGAGCGGATTTCCATGCTAAGCAAGTGCTACGACGATATGTCGAAGACGATCGTGAAATTGTTATCTGGGTCGCAAGTGTTGTTCCGTTGGAGTTTGATGACCAACGCGTGAAAGGCCTTGGCTTTCGTCACCAAGGATATGCTCTCACCAAGCGAGCAAAGGCATCAACGTCCGATCGAGAATTTTCTCTCCTGCAGCTTTGCTCTCTGGTGCGACCGGAAAAGGAAAATCACTCAGTTTACGACCCTGTAGCCGTGCGTGCGCTGACAGATTTTATGCTCGGAACCGTGGCAGGAAATATTACAGCGAGTCAGGAGCTTATTGAGAACGTTTTAATGGATCAAAATGTCAAATTGTAGAAATGTTAGGTGATCAAACTTGACGCCGCGTACAGGATGCCGTAATATTGACGTTCGTCCTTTTACGTATTTTTTGGCCTGTTGTAAAGACTTGCTGACCCGATCCTTCAAGTTGTAGCTATTATGCGTCAAAATTTTCAGAACCCATAGTCCAGTCTGGTGACGAGCATAGCCTCGTGCGAAAGCGGAGTTTAACCTCGACAAAACTAAAACTCTATTCTCCGGATAAAGAAGACTGAGCTCTGAAGTCGTCGCAATTCTTATGTCCTCTCCTTTCTACGATCGAACAAAAAATTGACCTTGTTCGATAAACCACTTCATCTTAAGGTTGTTCCGATAACAAACAAGGAAAGCATTGAGACCAGAACATTTTTGTCGGCATGCAAAAGCACACGATACATAAGTACGTTCAAACTTTACGACTTGATGACTGCAATATTTGTTGCAGAAGGTTTGCAATCGCTATGTTCTCTCTCTCGGAGTCCACAATCTACTAAGCTCTTCCCATTACACGTATTATTAATAAATGCTCGATCCATGTCTCTAAAAAAAAACGCACTCGCTCGGGTGTTATGGCGAGAGTTTGAGTGATGGAGTCCGTGAGACCGCTGGGTTAAATCAATTGCAGAGCCGTTGGGTGGGACGTGATATCTATGATGTAAGTGCTGGTCGAAAAAACAGACTTTTGTTTTAAGAATACAAGCAGGTAGGACACCGTACAGAAGCGGCAAATGCTTCCATGACAGTTTTAACTGCATACCATGTAGAATCAGCCTTCGAGAGCTCGGTAGGTTTAAAGCACACAGAAAGCTGAAAACCGGAAATACGTCGCTTGCCAATTTTGAAGTGTTCAACCACAACTGCGCTGCATTAGAGTAAAAAACGCATCATCCTCTCATTAGTATCGGCATATTTAATAAGGAAAAACTGTGACTGAATCTATGTGCAATCCAATCGAATTGCATTCTTCGAGTGGAAGCTATAACAAAGAGCGGTACAACATTGATAGCATACGCTTCCAAGTTCGATGTTAAATTCTGTATGTAGTGACTTGCAGCAGCTCATCGTGTCTTGATAGATGCAATACATAAAAAGATTGTACCCCAGAAACTGGAGATCCGAACTTGACATGCTCGATTTTCTACTGAATTCTTACCAAGTTGGACGCTGAAAGTATAACAAAAGTTTGGTTAACAACATGGAAATCTGATCGCGTTAGTTAGCACAGGTAGCCTTCATTGCACTCGGGCAAATAACGGCATTGAGTATTTGTTGGAATCCAAAATTTGCATAGAAGCTCACCGATTAGGAAACTTTGACGAGTTACTAGCTAAAAATTATTTTCACGAGGTGATAATCGCATAAATCTCTTAGGATTAAACGTTGTTTTGGTAGTGTGTAGATACCTCGGGTCAAAACATTGATGTGATTGCTCCAACAGCACTGTAAAGTACAGGAAAGCATGTATACTGCAGCGCAGAGCCAAAACTGAAATTGTTTGGAATTACCTAGGTGAAGTGATTGAAGCGCGCACATTTTGCAAAGCTACAAATGGTACAATTCATTATTTATTTGTATGATCGTAAGCAGAATCGAGTTCTTGCGCAACCGCATGCTTTATAGAGTGACAAATCCTTGGTCGTTTTCAGATAGTTACCTTGCGACTTTCTTAGCTCACTCAAGGTTGTGCTTTGACCTAGTTTGTGGTTGCCGCAAACGCTTCCAGTTCAGTACCTTTACACCTCGCTCGTACTCGGTAGTCCCAGCAGTTTCTGTAAACTCATATAATGCTGTCGTTGCTGTCATGTAGCAGTGCAATCTTTCTCTGAGATAGTTTGTGATCATAAGATAATTGTACAAACTGAACCTTAGCGTCGATCGAACGTTATTTATACTTTGAATCATATCGTTTGTTGTTTGTCTATCGAATTCTTCTCGATGTCTTTGATTCATATCGTCACATGACATCAAATCTAGTACGTAATTTTCTCTCGCATCACCTCAACTTCGCTTGTTTATCAAGAATAGCTCGATGTCGTTAGAGAAACTATAGTTTTCACGACTTGAATCGGTGGAATCATAGCTTTTGTCAGTAAAGCAGAAGCAAGAATCTGTAAACACATCAGCCGACACTCCAGTTGTAAATAAAACACATTCTTGGTTCCGATGTGAAGTAAAAGATCAGATCGTCTCCTTTTGACGCTAAGTGCTTTTGGTTCACAAGATCGTTCAAACGATAGAAAGTAATTTCGCAAAGCACTCGTGTTTTTGTGACTTGAATTGATTGCCGGTTATCTACTGATTTCCTGCCACCTATCGCCTATATTTGGATGGACAGTGAGAATATCCATTGATACTTCCTGGTACGCGCAACGTTAGATCGAAGTGATATTTGATAAGCAGAACAAAAGTGAGCAAAAGATGATATTTCCGAAAGCGCATTTGGGGCGATAACGCCCTATGAACTTTGCTAGTAAACCTCATAACATAGGTGCAGCTCCCATGGCTCCTGAGTATAAAGAGGGAAACCAGATTCAAAGATTCACAGTTACCACTCTCGACATTCTAATCTCTACTTGTTCCTTCGAATATGCAGATATCTCAAAAATCTGTATCTTACGATGAGCTACAGTCATGGGCATCCAGAATAGACTCATTTGCTCATTTTCCGGTGTTATACGAGTCCTCTTCTGGTCTAAAACCTATCAGCATAATTGGTCAGCTACAGTACATAATTATTCCGCCGACGCGATGATGATATGACGCTTCATTGGCTATGCTTGCATGACGTGTACAAAAGAACTTCCCAGTCAAAACCAAGAGTTATGTCAAGATCCCTTTCCCTATTCAGAGGACTGGGGTTCATCTTTACCACGGTCCATTTCATTAGTTAAAGACATTATGAGGAAAAGATGCGTCTCGGAGATTACGTTACTTATTGCGGTAATCGCAGCGACACAAGTTTGCATTGTAAAGGGAACCGAAAACGCTGTTAAAGCCAGCAGGAGAAACGTGAATGCGGACATTTCAGTATTGCATCGCTATCTCAAGGGAGCCAAGACGCCCATCATTGCTCGTGCAGAAGAAAGATGGTCAATGTCTTCCGCATTCAAGCCGTTGAAGTCCAAGTTAACTAAAAGCCTGGACTACATACGACAGAAGCGCATGAATCTTGATGCATTCTTCAAGGAGAATCCGGTAATTAAGAAAGAGATTATCGTTGCAACAGTCCTGTTGTTACTAATTGTCAGCGTGCCATTGTCCGTGAAGTGGATGTATCCAGCATGAAATCATATAAATTAAGTATATCATTAATATTTTCAATCAGCATTCTCCTTTTTAATTAGACATACAACATGAGGCTTAAACAATAATTTCAAAAGCTGCGAATAGCCGCAAATTTACTTTACTTCATGAACAATTTCATTGTGAATTTTATCGAGAATTGTAATGTAAAAGAATCACAATAAATTACAATTATTCACGAATGGTGAGAGCACAATGATAAGCTAAATGTAATATAGAAAAGGGCTTTGCTACCAATTACGCAACGAATAGTTACCAAGTGATCGCAGACACGCTCAAACGCCTATGCATGAGCGAATCTACGACCACCTGATAACACGTCTGTAATTCTTTTCAACGGGAGATGCTGTCGAGCAAGTACCTGGAGCTTTAGATCGTTTTTGTCTGGAAAGAATACAGCGTCTCGACTTCGAAAGAATGTGCGCTAACCTCTTCATTGCTGTCCAGGTAAAGTACGCCATACATCAATTCGGATTTACGATTATTGATGATATGTGTAAAAAATATTTTTGCTTCACTGTATTTAACAAAATATACCGCACAAATAAATCACAATTTCTGTGTTTGTGGACACTTCGCAGTGCCGAGGTATTTTTGTAAGTAGGAAAAATCACTTGTCAAAAATAGATAAGGTCACCATAACACCTGGACTTTATCTTCTCAACATGAAGAGATTTGTTCGCCAACCCTTCCGACCAAAGCTGGTCTATTGCCGGGGGGGGGGTGTAGCAAGTGTGGACGAGACAATGCTTACATCTTTTAACACTTTGTCCGGCAAGATAAGTTTTCAGCGCTGCATTTGACAACCATTAAGCTCATTTTCTTGAGATGTTTGGCGCCTGTAGGCAGCCGTATGCCAATTGAATTCATGATTGAGATAATGCACTGTCAACAACGTCGCCGACTGATTAAGAAAATGTTAAATTCTGTGAAGGCTACACTTAGCCATCACATGAGGGTACATCTAGTACCTTCTGTGTGCATTGTGGGAATTTGTAACAAAAGGATTATAGTGTGGTCTCCCTACATGCATATTTGACATTTTCTATGAAGCCACAAACATTCTGTGTGATTTGGCATGCTGGATCCTACTTGGGGATTCGTTCTGGTGACAAGACCTCTGCCCTTTGAAGTGAATTGTGTCAGCCGGTCCCTTCTGCTGGGAGCTTCCCACGGAAGTTCAAGCTCAAGCATTTAAAAATGGAGCACCATACACCCAAGATCTTGAATAAGCTCAAGCGGAGGTATAATCTCAACCCACCCTTGATTGTGATAATCAGATTCATAGAAACGTTTTGTTTATGAAACCTCTAGGAATCCCTGAAGGGTTTAGCATGCTATTTTAGGAACACCTCTATTCAGATGCAAAGTTGTATTTAGGCCCTATATTCGTTCCTCTTCCCTCAAAGTCAGAACTGTTGTTTTTCTCTACTTTTGGGAACTGATTCCTCTTCGCACAAGCGTGTGTGTTGTACTTAAGGAACTGTTGCGAAAAGCGTCATCTTACATACTCCGATAGTACAAAGATATTTCGGCGAGAAATACAGCTGACGCGATCATGCCATGACGTGGGAGGAGAAGTCAAAACCCACCTTCTTCTATCCCCACTCCTTAATTAGTCACTCTGACGCTAAATTCTTCAGTCTTTGGTGTTATCGTACGTACATTCGACACTTTGATCTGACATAAGTAGTATTTTGAGAAGTGGTACCATTATGCAGATGTATTTAATGTATTCGATATTCCACACTAGATCCTTTGATTCTGTTGACTCGACAAGCAAAGTATATATCGATCGAAATTTTGGTGTCAGCCATTCTGGCGAACCCTACGTTTCATTGTTCTTGACCGGAAGTTGCCATAACAACCGATATTTGATCTATGTTAGCTAAATTCTATGACTACAGGATCAGGAGAGGAAAATAGATACCAAATTAGGAAAATGTTAGTGTCGCAGATGCTGCTGAACATTGAGATTGTGGCAATTTGCTACGCAAGTTCTAGACATCTAATATGCTCATAGCAAATTTTCGCGATGAAGTAGATGCAGATCGGGCCGAGTCGGAGGTCAAAATGGGTATACATTAAGAAAGCGTCATGCTCGCTATATCTCAGTAGTTGTCGCGAGTCTGAAAAGACGCTATTTTTAAACCCGAAGAAAGTTAATCTCTCTCATAGCGCCGCTCGTTTGGATGAAGATCTACAAGAATTGGCGCCACAAGAATCGGTGTCAGTTATCATGCAAAGTTTGTTGTCAGCTAGCGTTATGTGCTTGGTCATTGCTGATGAAATTTTTGCAGATCTATCAAAAAAACAATATAATCGCCCCAGCGAATGTTCGTCCTGTCGGCTGTAACAGAGGTGAAGATGAGAAAAAGGGCCGTCCTGTTATGGCTGCATGCAAAATGTCGGACCGCGCCTGTTTGCTCCCGAAATTTATAACAATTGCTGCTCAAAATGGCACTTACTATCGACGTCTATGGGTCGATAACGTCTCAGACATCCAGAACACCCGAAGGATAAAAAAATGTATTTCCTACTTGTAGTGGATTTAGTCCTGTTATTGAGGAGATTTCGGACGTGACCTCGATCTATATTCGTTAAGCTGGTTATCAAAAGCAGCACAACGAAATATTACGCTGATTGCCAAAATCAAGTTTGCGTTTCTTCGCAAGCAGACCCATAAATCAGGAGCTAAAAAGTCGGTATCTTGCGTGGAATTACGATCAGATCCTTTTCCGGGTGGTAATATAAGTCTCACCGCTTAAATGTCATTCAGTGGCTGGAGGAGATGGAAACACAGTAAAGAACCTCTCGAATCACAAAAGGTATCGATTATTACCGAAAGGGTCATTGGTGTAATGACCAAAACATTTTTTGAATTTCTGACTTTGGGCAAGGAAGACAGCGTCCCTAAATATCTTTTGGACAGTAAAATGATTTTTCTTTGAGTAATTACTGTTCTAGCGTTTCTCATTAATTAAAGCACACAATTAAAATGCTCGTTTCCTTCAGCGACACTGTTAAAAGCTGATTAGTAAGGTTAACAAAGATAAATCACCATATTGATTCACATTTGTAACATTCTGTATGCACTGTCGGATTTGATAAAGAATATTACAGTATAGTGTTCTTAAATCCATACGTGATTTCTTATATGAAGTCACAAACATTCAGCGTGAGGCAGAATGCCGGTTCCTACTTTGGGGTCTGTACTGGTGACGAGACCGACTTATCTCTGTTTTTCGAAGTGGGTAGTCACTTCGACTGGATATTCTTCACGAAAGTTAAAGCTCAAGCTGTCAAAGTGGGTGGCGTAAGCCAATCCGTCCTACGGATACCTACCACAAAATTTTAAACTCAAGCTTTCGAAGTTCAAGCCACGTACACCTAAGATCTCTTAATAGTTGAAGCTGAGGTTCGACCTCAGTACACCCTTGATTTATATATCAGGAGTCCAGGGACTTATTTCTAAAACCTCTAGAAACCCTTGGGGTGTTTTGGATGCAGCTAGGAACCATAACTCATTTTAATTGAGTTGCAATTTATCTTTAAGGTATTGAGTCATTCTTCTTCCCTCCAAGTCGGGACTGTCCTTCTCCCTCCACATCGGGAATCTCTTCCTCGTCGCACAAGTGTGTGTGTTGTGCCTGAGGAACTGTTTGTGAGCAGCGCCCTCTCACAACTTTTAGTATCAACATACTCATTTCTTGAAAATTTTCTGATTGCCTCGCATGGTCTTCTAATAGTCGTGTTTTACTTAAGTAATTTTGTTTGGTACGACATTAGCAAGTATTTCCTATTTAATCTCTGATTAAGCAACAACATGGCACCATCGTTAAGCTCGATTTCGCACATTAGGAACAACTTTTGGCGGATTCGTCTGTGCATTTGCTGACACGGAATCTTTGACTTAAAAATTTCTCGGCGCATGGTGCCGTGCTTACTCCGGTGGACTTGGAACGCATGTCTATCTGATGACTGATTGTTGTAAGAGATGAATACATTGTGTCGATGAAACATACAGTGTCCATCTATGTACTCCTCCTGTCAACAAGGCACATATATATTGAAAAGAATAGAAGTGCATCTAGAACGAGCCGGTGATACACCGACTCCTATGACAATATAACAAGCAATACTGCTTTCATAAGTAATCAGACCACAAGATGGAGATGATGAAATAACAACATCATCTAGTTGAGATGAAGACGTGTAGCAACTACGCTTCGCATAAATACTCTGGTTGCGCACGAGAACGTACGAGAACGCGCTCTCTCATGAAAACGAAACAGGTTTTTTAAAATACCCAAGCGGCAGAGCTGCACCGTCCAATCTATTTCTTCGCGCGCAGCCTAGTTTTATCAACTTGTTGAGGAAGAAGTGGTTGGCGGACTTTCAGGAATTGAGTACACGTATAGCAGCGATGGTGGCATAGCTTCTAGCAACTCGCTGTAGCAGTCATCGTAGCTGTATGGGCACTTCGCCCATGAGCATTTTGCATAAATACCTTCCACGTACACCAAAGCTTTTTCGAGGACGGGCGAATAATAAATAGATAGCGGAGCAAAACCGCAGCAGGGCAACCGTGGTTCTTTGCTATGAGGAAGCTTTCTAAGGTCACCGACCTTTCGTTCATACCAGAACCACTACGAGTGTAGTGGATCGCAATCCGCTACCTCCAAGAGTATCTAAAAATCGAATCAAGCCAAATGTACTCTTCGATTCAAAATTGAAATTATATCTATCTGTATTATTTGCGGCAGAGCCGCCCTTATCCAAACCTTAGTTTTTTTAATTAGATGCATAAATACTGGCTCTCCCACCGCTTAGTGGCTTCTTGTTACGGTGTAGCCACGCCATTGTGTGATTACTCCGACTTGTGTAATCCACACCTTTGTGCGGCCACACCATCTTGTGTGACCCACCCCGTATACAAGAGTACGTCTGACCCCGTTACACACTCTCTCATCAAACTGTGAATACCCACAATTAACATGTTACTGTCGCCTCGTACGAGGCTCGCGTGTCTGAGACACCGTTACGTCCCTAGGATCATCTTTAAACATTTTCTGCTCAACGAGTCTTGTTTCTATGACTCGAAAAACACCTAGCCTAGCTGGTTCTGAGGGCACCCGCGGGCAAAGCCCTTCTTTTTCTGGACAGGGTACAAATCCGGACAGTTCGTCCGCGGCTCAACGCGAAGCACATTCTAAGCCCTCGGCAACCGGGCGCGCCCACAGCGCCCGCCACTGACGGAGTATTTCCTTGTCATGGATTTGTAGAAGTCGACTACGATTCGGATACTCCTTTCCCAGGATGTGAAGAAGAGGAAATCGAGGTGCGCCAACGGCGCGAAGTGAGCCCTGCTCAAACCTTGCGGACACCGTGTCCGTTTCTCGACCTCTCGACTTCGGGGGATGTGGTAGTATTACCAAGCGCCTTGACGAGGCACAAGAGCAGCAGTTGAAGGCTGCCCACAGGGCGGCTCTCATGCGCTCGTACCAACGTTTCGTCCTTGACCCTCGCGTAGAATACGGCTTCCGCTCGGCGGATCCCGCTACTGTAGCGAAAGAGGCGATCATCCGACCATTACGTAGCGGGCCCTCGGCCACTAAACAAGCTGAGCTTGATCAGAGGAAAGATCTTTGAGCTCGTTTCTTGGTACCTCAAGAAATCCCAATGGATAGGTACCGAGCTCGACTTTGCGCTGAAAGAGGAGACTCTTCTGTACCCGCAATGCGTTCTATTCCCGTGGTGCTTGCCCCTGGCGGAGCCGCTGCAGATGATGAGGAGCTCTTTGAGCGATGCGTGCAGCAGCAACGATCACTTTCCTTGCTGTCTCAGTGACAGCGGAGCGACAAGGAAGTGTACGTGCGCGTTGAGCGCAATCTTAGATTCGAGTTTGCCAACCTCAATGCGCAACGCCGACTTCCTGTCTTCTGTCGCCCTGCGACACATGCAACATTCATAACGCTCCTGCGAGCTCTGTGATGTCTCACACGGGCGAGTCGATGACCACAGCAGCTCAAGACCATAGCTTGAGCTCAGTTTATAACCCTTCGGCTTCCCAAAATACTGACGAGAAGCGCGGGGCTTACGACGACGAAGAGTGTCATTATCATTCTGACCATAATCGTCCACGACGTCTGGGCAGTCTTTCCGAAGTGGCACCTTAATTTCCCACGAGCTCTCGGAGTTTGGGTATTATCGCCACCTCACAAGATATTGGGCTCGACCCCGTCGACGACGTCGACCCACAAGGCGTTCCACTTGATAATAGACGCCACCTTTTCATCAAGAAGGGTCTGCGGCGGACTATTACGACTTGGTCGATCGCCGTCCGGTGACTCGCGATGCTATTTGAGCTCTGGGGGACGAGGTCCTTAGAGAGCGGGACTTTGCTGAGCATCATGCTGGGGTCACATACCGCTGTGCGGAAGACTTGGAGAGCTTGGAGCACTCTGTGCATCGACTGCCTCACGTTGAGAACTATCGCGCTCTGTCGGAGCTGCTCCTAGCCGTCGAGCAGACGAATACGTCACTTCGTGCGACGGTGGATCGCCTTGCGCCGTTGTAAACGAAAATTATTGCACTCTGTGCTCAGATCCAATTGCTGGCTCAACTTCTGGCTGGCCGAGCGCCTTTGGGCGCTGCCTCGGCACCAACGCTTCCGCGTTCAACTGCGCCGAATCCGGGGACGGATTGAGCGCATAAAACAACGGGCGGGTGCGCATCCTTCTTAAAGACTTAACGTATAAGCAAGGCCATGCTTTGCCACGACCTTAAAGAGTCGAATAAACCGTGGTCGGAGCTTTGTCTTAAACAAGCAGAGACTGCATATGTAGGAAAACTTTTAGTATTAGATAAAATTAGGCCCCCGACCTCAACGTTTTCCACATTTTTTTCTGCTTCTTTCATCTGCATGTCTTGGCCTCTAGCTGTTGCATCGCGAACGTGTGATAAAACGCTCAGTCTGGTTGACAGGAAGTCATCGACTTCTTTACGGACGCTTACATCAGCTAGCCGCTCTACAATTCTTCTCCTAAGCCATGGGATGGCGGCGTCCGCGAGACGCGAGGATTAAAAAGCCCGTTCACGTAGAATGGCGTGTAGCCGGTAGATGAATGTACTGCTTTGTTCGGTGAAAACTCTAAGAGTGGTAGCATGGCGCTTCGGCGTCTCAGCGTGACGCTGCGAAGAACGTCCTCGACGACGTGATAGACGCGATCATCTTGGCCATTGGTCTGCGGATGGTCCGCTGTTGACATAAGCAATTTGGTACCCAGCACCCTGAAGAATCTAGAACAAAATTTTCAGTAAAGCGTGGGTCTCTATCAGAGACAATTGACTCCGAATTCCATGCTTCCAAACGACACGCTTGACAAAACGTGTCGCTGTACCCCCACCGTCGATGATGTCTGGGACTGCCACAGGGTGAGCTATCATGCTCAAACGGTTCACAAAGACTACCAGACCCGTGTTGCCCGCCGAGACCTTCGGCTGACCAAATACAAAGGCCATACTCATTGACTGTCAACACCCGGAGGGTATTGGTAAAATGGCCAACGGCGCCGCTGCATTCGGAGAGGGTTTCACCCTTTGACACGTCTCACACGTGTGCACTTATGTGCTCGTCTATTTGTACAGCATGGGCCACCAGTTGTGGTAACTCACAGAGCTGCACGTCTTCTCACGACTAGGATGACCACAAAGTGGTGTGTCGTGTGTCATGGGCCTCATAGAGGATATGCTACTTCCTATTCTCATCGTGAGGAACCACAATCAGTGATGTGCCCGTCGAGTCGGTGCCGTAATACATCAATCCGTTATTCGATTAATATCAGTGCAACCGTGTGCGCAGTCGCGACGACAATTTCTTGTCCGAGTTTGAAATTCCTTGCTCCCGTAAGCCTGTAGCAGCGCTATGCACATATCATCACCCGCATATGCGGCGCGGGTGATATCCGTCACTGACGACGTCGCCGTTATGACATGAGCAAGCTCATAATCCGGTCTGCTTGACAACGCATCAGCAAAAGCCTTCTGCTTTCCTGACTTATTCTTCACCTCGAAGTTACATTCTGCGAAGAAGGAGAGCAATTTGGCCATTTTCTGCAAAAAGTGAGGCGACTAAGTCGCAGTGCAAAGTGATGCATGATCTGTGAAGATCGCGAACGGCTTGAAGCTGAGCAGGGGGATTCCGAACTTGACAAGTGGAAATTTTCATCGCAAGTAAATCCTTGTCGTGCACAGGGTAGTTCTTCACCGCAGCGATGCTCAGTGTCCTGACACCATTCCTTATCCTTATCAATGATATAGACATGGCCGTTCCATTTCCGCATAACTTATGCCAGTATTGGCGAGGCCAAGCCAATTGCGCAAGTCCTTTTAGCTCTTTTGAAACCGGTCAGTCTACAATAGCCTTGACCTCAGCGAGATCGCTCGAAGGGCACGCTTTCCAATGAAGCCCCCAAAAAAGGGATTTACTCACGCCGAAGATGCACTTGTCTGCCTTGGCATACAGCTTATTCGTGCGCATGCCCTCGAGCACCGCTCTCAAATGGACAATGAATTTTTCTCATCTGTCCTCCCGTGCCCTGCATGACTGTGGACGAACATGTCGTCGTAAAATGGTTCTATAGGACTTTAGACAATTGCGTCGCAAAACAGTTAAATGTTGGTGGTGTATCTGAGAAAATTGCGTCACAAAACGATTTAATGATGGTGTATTTGACAGCCCTTGGGGTATCACCAGCCACTCCGAGAGCATCCCGCTCGGAGTACTCGCGAATAATCTCTCGCTCTCACGAGCAATTGGAAATGACCATCGACCAAGTCGAGCGCGCTGTACTTTGTGCAGCCAGCCATATTTTCCTGGAGATCATCCTTTCTAGGAAATCGGCGTTTGTACCAGAATGGTGGGAGCTTTTGCTGATCATAAACGTGAACGATACGCCACTTGCCGTTCGGCTTCCGGACACAAAATGTGGGTGTCAAGTGGGAAGACTTGCTCTCACGACCCATTCCTGCGTTGGGCTTTGCACGGAAAAAGGCGTAAATGACGTCACGCTGTTCTTTCGACAGGGGCCATTGGCGTGTTTTGCAGTATTTGGTTCTCAGAACTAGGTCGATCTCTCGACGCACACTTTGGTTCGGAGGTAAGATGACGGCTGGTCTTCGGGACGACGTCTTACAATTCTTTTATCGAAATATAGAGGGATCCTTCAGTATCGACAACTCACTCCGTGCGCTCAGCACCCTCTTGGTGTCCTACAGTACATATTCATCCAGAAGCGACGACGAGTTAATCGTTCGGTCTTTTAATGACCACCGCGGCTTAATCTCCTGTCTTTTAGGCACCGCCAAACTCTATGAAGGACATCTAGTCCACCTCAAAAAGAGCATCAATCGCGGGAAAAGCCTCGAGGGTGACGTCGCCGTCTTCCTCCCCCGTC